ATGGAGTTTACTCCTAAACCATTGACCCAATCATCACAAAACTTTGATTAAAATCCACTTATAGGGAGCGCTAAACATGTAGAAAGTTGATATCTTGTAATCAGCCAGAGATATTTGTATGAAACGTGGTTCATCTAGGGTCCTGTCTCAGTTGATGCACAAAATTTGAAAATGATTGCTTAAAGGGGGTGTGGCTTATAACATTAACATTTCAAGACATTTCACATTCTATACTTCAAAAAATCATAATAAATCACTGGTGTGTCCTACAGAGCTGACATTTTTCAGCACATCCGCTGAATTTTGATGAGTTTGCCATGCTGTAAACTATAGTCAATCCGGAAGTCCGTCATTCTATATTGTTAAGAATATGCAAAATTAATTAACATCAATGTGTCCAAAAGTCTTCATCTAAATGCAACCACCACTGACAGAGACATTCATTGGATACTAAAGGTCATATGTTTCAAATGGTGCTCAGATCAGATTTAACGGTTAGCTCACAGTAATATTCATTATGTTGTTGTAATTTGCACTGTATGCACAATATTTCCTATTCCATCTAATTCTAAACCAGATGTCACCAATATTTGACAATATACCTGAAATTAGCAGAATGATGTGAGATTTTAATTTTCGCAATATTACGCAGATGAAAAAATGCAGTCCCATGAGGTTTGTTTTAAATGAGAATTAAAAGACAAATCTTGGTCAAATGTTACTCCGAGGTTTCTTACGGTAGTGCTAGAGGCCAGAGCAATGGCATCTAGAGAAACTATGTCATCAGATAAAGAGTCTCTGAGTTGTTTGGGGCCAAGAACAATAACTTCAGTTTTGTCTGAATTTAACATAAGGAAATTTGTGCTCATTCAGGTTTTTTCTGTCTTTAAGGCAGTTTATAAAATAAAGTTTAGTTAATTGATTAGTTTCTTTTGGCTTGATCGAAAAATACAATTGTGTATCATCCGCATAACAATGGAATGAGTGATTTCTAACGATGTTACCTACAGGAACCATATATAGAGTAAATAGGACTGGTCCAAGCACAGAACCTTGCGAAACTCCAAAACAAACTTTAGTACGTAAGGATGATTCATCATGAACGTGAACAAACTGAAAACGATCAGATAAATAAGATTTAAACCAGCTTAGTGAAGAACCTTTTAGGCCAATTAAATGTTCCAGTGTCTGTAGCAGAATTTGATGGTCAATTGTGTCAAACGCCGCACTAAGATCTAATAAAACAAGTAGAGAGACAAGTCCTTTGTCTGAAGCAATCAGAAGATCATTTGTAATTTTAACTACTACTGTCTCAGTGCTATGATGCTCTCTAAATCCTGACTGAAATAAATTATTATCATGGAGAAAATCACACAGCTGGTCTGCGACTACTTTTTCAAGGATCTTTTAAAGAAAGGGAAGATTAGCTATGGGTCTATAGTTGGCTAACACCTCTGGATCCAGGGTGGGCTTTTTTAGGAGAGGTTTAATTACAGCTACCTTAAAAGACTGTGGTATATAGCCTGTTAATAAAGATATATTGATCATGTATAATAAGTGAGTGTTAACTTAAGGTAAGACTTCCTTAATTAGCCTAGTTGGGATGGGGTCTAAGAGACACGTTGATGATTTAGATGAAGAAATCACTGCGGACAATTGTTGAGGAGAAATCGGGGAGAAGCAATTTAAATATATATTAGGTCTTACAGCTGTGTTTGAGGGCAGATAGGTACTATCTGAGGACAGGAGGTCATGAATATTGCCTCTAATAGTTAGAATTTTGTCATTAAAAAAGCTCATAAAATCATTACTGCTAAGGGCTAAAGGAATACAAGGCTCAATAGAGCTATGACTCTCAGTCAGCCTGGCAACAGTGCTGAAAAGAAACCTGGGGTTGTTCTTGTTTTCTTCTATTAAAGCTGAGTAATAGTTTGCTCTGGCATTCACATCATGATTATCCACAGAAACTACAAATCGGACCTACGCCTTAGGAGAAGATGTCAAAAATGTCTTTGTCAAAAAATTCAATATGGCGGACAATCTATTGGGCGGACCTTGAGGGTTCTTGAGGCTTTCATAGTGCCCATTCACCTGAACATCTGTGGCAAATTTCAAGTCAATCTGACATAGGGTGCAAGAGTAATAATGGTGCCCCCCCATTTGGCCTGTTGGCATTATATTTATTGAACACCATTCGCAAACCATTGGGGAAAATTTCATGTTTCTACGATGTACCATCTCACAGGAATTTGCAAAACCATTTCTGAACAACAATAATAATAATAATAATAATAATAATAATAATTTAATCTGCATGCAGCAATGAAAGGGCCCTCGCACCTTCAAGCAACTCAGGGGTACTGGCAGGATGCCAGCTGATGCAACAGTTCATTTCTGTCAAAGTCAGACACGTAGGACTGAGATGGCATATCCTCCATAAAGTATGGACGCTGGGATGACCTTACTCACATTTTGTACCACTTCATCTTTCCACGAGAGGGCACTGGAGAAAGCACTAATAATACGTCATGTTTTTGTACATCAAACATAGACCACACCATGTAAATTTCAGGAAAATCAAAGGATATGGGTCTGATAAGATGTACTTACTGTCTGACTAACATGGAATATTGTCATATAGATGTGTTCAGGGTGAGACTATTATGACTCGTGAAGTTTGGTGAAAATCACACCATTTGCTCCAAGTTAAAGAGGCAACAGATAGGATTCAGGTTTTTTTAGCTTGGCGCCACCTAGCATCAGCAGTGTTGCTCGCACTGTTGCAGCGACCAAATTGACTGTGGGGATCAGAGATAATCAATAAAATGTAGGCTGTAAAGCCACCAGTATACCTCTATGTATATGTAGAATGAAAAGGTGTGTGGACACTACTAAATAAATGAGTAAAGAGACAGAGCACAATTATCAGATTTATCTGAAGAAAAAACAAATAGTAATGCAAATAATTATACCAGAATTCACAGTACCAGTACAAACAACTCACAGTAAATTATACCAATATGTACAGTATCAGCACAAACAACAGTAGGTACGTAAGGGATAATGTATAGTGAGTCGGTGACTGTTGAAAAATAACTCCCCACAGGGGAATTATTTTTCAACTGTCACCGGCTCACTGTACATTATCCCACTTAGAACATGGCTTACTACTAAAACATTCAAATGTTACAACTGGCATCATTATTATTAAATTACTAGCAGAGTGTATTGACAGAGGAGAGGCGTTCACCAGACAAACTGCGGCCGTTTTCTGGAGCGGAGGAGAGGATTTTACTCCACTACTCCCGGTCAGAGATGCTGGGTGCCCAGTAGCTGCGAAGGCTGCCCTCACATTTATGGCCAGTGACCAACATCATCTCCCTGCTCTCCAGGCCAGCTTGGGAGAGCTGTATGGACTAACATTAACTGATTTTGATGTTCCTCAGTCTAAGGCCGTTGCTATTGCGTCCCTAGCAAAGGAGCAGCAGAGCAGCGGTGATACCTCAAGAAATAAACACCGCAGAATTTTGTTGATTGACCAATCAGAATCAAGTATTTATGAGTGCCATGTTCTAAAGTGGAATTTAACCAATATGCACATGTAAACAGTCCCAGTTCTAGAATAAACGGTACTGTATGGAAACAATGTGGCCTGTTGGAGCTCAAATTGAATGGGAAACAAAGTCCAGTGTTCACTTAGCTGGGCGTAACTTAGCTGGGCGATGTCCGTCGATAGCTGCCTCAGTGAGAAGAGAACAGAAGGAAGGGAGGGGGGTATCACTGTCCAAGGGCTGCTGTAGAATGGCAACGAGGATGTCAGCCGACCAACACTCGCTACCTGGTCCCTAGTTGTGGCAATTTGCGACGCTGGCCAGCTAGGTATTAACTAGCAGCCAGTACAGTACAGTCCTCTCTCATCTAGCTAACATTTAGCCGTGTTACTTACTGATCCATTAGAAAGAAAGCTAGCTGGACATCTGTTTTGAAGCCTCTTTGGTCACGGAGCTCCCTCTTGAACAGAGAAAGTCTCTCTGTCTCTCTCATATCTTGAACGGCTGACTGAGGTTTACTCTTGTTTTTCCTCTTCTTTTATCACTCTCCTTTTTGCCCTTCTGTGCCTCATCAGACAGAGGAGCTTGTTTTCTTTTGCTAGGCCATTTTTCACTTGTTTCCAAACTTTGTCCGTCTGCCATTGTGCTCGTGACTCAACTATCTCATGCCCAACTCCTCATAAGGACCAGCTCCAGTCCCTGACTGGCTGACCAAACAGTTTCGCAATACATGACGCGTTTCCTGCCGTAAAGCAGCTTTTTTCCGCGAAATTTCGGCACCAGTGGCAGAAGCTTATTACAAAGATTGCAAAGCCACTAAGTAACCGATGTAAACGCTGATAGTCTGATTTTACTGTGGCCACTACCCTGTGCAACCCACATTATTTTCATAATGATATATTTAGGAAAAGATGCTATCTGTTACCTCTACAAAGCAATTTCGTGTTTCATGGCAAGACATCAAAATTCAATGCTCCTCAGTGGGCGTGTTCATCTACATAAGGTAGATCTTGTAATAACTTTTGATCACAATATAGCGAAGCTTGCGCAAACCAAGTTTGAAGGCAATCCGATTAAAGCTGTAGGATGGGTTTGTTAAAACAACCTTTTTATAAATCACAGTACTTTTTGGCGCACACCATTTTGGCTTTGTGCACTTTTATTATGGTCTGTACGCACCGTATTATAAACGAGACCCCTGGACATTCTGCCATCATATCAGTATTGCAGCCTAAATACATAAAACTGTGAGTCAATTTAACCAGTAGCGCTGTTTAGTTTAAAAAGTTTAAGGTGCATGTTCAAATCTGATACATCAGTGGGAAAATATTAGGTTTTAACTGTAAGGCTTTCATGAAAAGCATAGTTGCAATTTACATGACATCGAGGGACTGGTATTGTAGATAGTTTGGTGGATTTTATTTAAAGAATTTTTGCTCTCACCATCAGGGTAAGCCCGGTGAACCAGGCAAACCAGGAAAAGACCCCAGGGTAAGCTTTGGCTCATTGAGTCCGCCACCTTTATTTTCCTAGAATCTTCTCACAACTGAAGTTTGTTGGTGTGATATTAACCTTCTCATAATTTTGACATTGTCTCTGCAGCTTTTACCGGGACTGAAGGTAAACATATTTCTCTGCTTGTCTAAACAGCAAGATAAAAATTCTGAAAAAGAAAAACTTGAAGAGTCTCCTGATGACTCTGGAGTTATTACAGACAATACAATCAGGCCGGAAAAAAAAACAAGGCACATTAAACAGGGATAAGGTCAAGATGTTTCCCCTTGGTCTCTGTGCAGCTGCTCCCCACCTACACAACAGAAACTCTGCACAGCTCTGCTCTGCGTGATGCGTTAATGGTCACAGATTATTTAAAAAGAGGAATTCAGATTGTGTGGGTCAAATTGCTGTAAATGCCTCTCACCATGAAAAACAAGCTGAATCTCACAGCTAGGAGTGGGTTTCATGTGTGATGGACTTTAGCATGAGCAGATGAGTTGGGCTGTGGCACCATCAGAGAAGCATCTGGATAGAAAACACAATGTTGAAGCCTTCAAATAAAGCTTTAGCCCCCTGTGGTTCTGTATATTTTTCTAAACAAATTCTAAATGTGTTACACTGGCTGGATATGTACTTTGTATGCACACACTTCTATATCTTGTTTTCTCTGTGCAGGGTGAGCCAGGTGTGCCAGGACAAAAGGTGAGCTGTCTGTGTTTCACTTTTGACAAAGCATATGGTCCATAGAATCTAGGATGTGGTTAGATTAGCAAGGAAATACTTCCAGTACACAGTCTACTCTCCGCATTGGTCATAGAGTGATTGCCAGATTTTTCATCATGAATCAGTGTTAAAATACAATATTTGCCTGTCCCTTCACAGGGAGATCGAGGTGATATTGGTCCAATAGGTCCTGAAGGCTTAAAGGTATTCCCGCTTCTCTTTTTATAACTTCTCATGTTCGAATTTAACTTTCTTTTTCCACTCAAAGCTTCATGATTATAAAGATTCCAATAAACTCTGAATCATATGTTCACAGTTCTTGACATGTACCTAAATACAACAGTCACATGCCATATGTACATTGGAATGGGTAATTATTCCTCCATACTGGTAATTCTAACACAATTACACTGTGAGAAATAGAAGACAAAACCAAAACAAAACAAATGTTTTCAACCAAAGATGTTTTTTTGTTTTGTTTTTTTCATGTGATTGATCACGTGCGAACAGTTCCCTAGAAAAGATGAGACAGAGCTACTGTGGTAACACAACAATAACTTCAAACTACAGCACTTGATAAGAGGACATACTAAACTAACAAAGCTCACAAAGTACAAATCAAAATACAAATACCACAATAAGAAGTACAACATGTTCAGATCTTGTCATCTGTAAGCATCTCCATATTAGAGCATTTCAGTTAGGCATATTGGGTTGAGGGAGCAGTTCTAGAGAAAATACGAGACACCCATTTGTTTGTCTAATGCAGATGGCTGAAGCCCCATATTAGCTTGAGTTTAAAGAGTGAAGACTGTGGATTTTGTCCCCCATCTTAATTGCATCATCTTGCCCTTCCCAGCAAGCACCACAGTTTTACTCTAAGTAGTATTAAATAAAGCTTTGAAAATTGTTAATAAGTGATATTATAAAATATACCTTAGCCCTGACCTCACAAAGTGATGCAGGTAGCATCTGCAGCCACATTTATGGTTTTGACATTTATTTAATGGAAAGTGTTTGTTGGGTTATTGTACAATAGTCTTCTTGGTATTGGATAAACAGGGATGAACTAAATACACACACACACACACACACACATGCACGCACGCATGCACGCACACACAAAAACAAACACGGACACACAACATGCATACACACGGATGGCAGGTTAAAGGATGTAATCTTGGCTTTGAAGCTGTGAGTGAGTACTCAAGTTGAAGGAATTATTCTACCAAGCTCAAATTTCACTTGAGTGACAGTGAGCAATGGAAGCTGTATGGATGATTTGAAAAGGATTTGGGGTAAATGATACTGAGCTCTTTTGAGATTCTTGATATCACTGGTCCCTTAGGGGCAGTGAAACAAGCAGAAAATGCAACATCTGACAAATTTCCATCTTTTAAAGTTACTGTGGCTAACATGTTTAGCACTGTCAACTCACACACTTTGAGATCCATGCAGTTAACACTTTTTACATGCTTTCACACCACACATTCATTTTCTCATGCAATGAAAATCAAATCTGTAACTGATAACATAAAAAGGACACTGACAGTGCTCAGACAGACAAGAGAGAGCAGCACTCTAAAACACTGTGGGCAAGTCGTCTGTTGTTTGTGAAAATCCAGTCAAGCCAGCTGCCACTTGGATTTTGATGCACAGCTATTCATGCTGTTACAGTACTGATATGTAAGGCCCAGACACACAAAACAGACAAAATATCTAGCGGCAACAACAGCCAATTCTTGCATCGCCTCACATTGTAAACCTCCAGTAATCGCTCTCCTTCAAAGCCTGTTGTTCTTTAGCTGCTGTCATCCGCTATGGTGACAGGCTTGTCTGTCTCTAGTAGGCAGTGGTCAGTTTTATCAGAGCTTGTCACAGAAAACAGCTGCAATAGCCAATAAGAACTGCTATTTATCACCTCAGCATTTTGAAGGTTACTCCACACTGTCACATAGCATGCCCAACACAAAGTGTCGGAGAAAAATAAAAAAATTTGCTTGGGGGTAAAACCAGCATTTAAATCCACACTGTGTGTAAGAAATTATATGTGACCAACCATGAAAAACTGTGGAGTGCTGACTTGGCGAGGATCCTCAAAGGTTTTAAAATTGGCTGCCTCAGCATTACAAGGTTATTTAATTCATTGTTAATATTAAAAAAAAGAAGAAGAAGAAGCTTTTAAAATACCACGATTTTGCCATTTGCTGTTTTGAATTTCATGACTAAGTCATTCATTATAAGTAAAGATGTTATTAATTAATTCATATTGTTCAGCAATTTATAACTTTTAGTCTTCCCCTTCCACTAAACTCCAGGGAGCTAAAGCAAAACATATCAGTCATCTGGGTATCATCAAACACTTTGGCTGCTGCTGTCACAGCAGAACCACAGTCTATACTGTATCTAGAACATGACTCTCTGTGAAAGTGATTATGCCTGAAGCCGTCTCAAGTTTTGAGACTGGGACTGCTGGAAGAATCTTGTTGCTATGAGCTTCTGTGCAGATTATTGCCTTGTAAAATTCAACTACTCTTCGGTCTCACTTTGTTTTCCCATGAACTCAGCCTAGAGCCCTGACTGTGTTTTCTGCTATGAGCACATCATGTGACTGACTTAAGGGTCACTAAGAGGACAGAGGAGAGGCCTTCACAGGCACTATTATCTGGCTTTTTTACAGAGGTTGCACAACAACTTCTTAGGTGAAATTCAAATGTCTCTTCAGTTTGCACATCTACTCTGTGAAGCTTGGAGACAGTGCTCACTGCTAATTTTAGGCTTATGCTTACAGAGGCTCTTGGGCTCCATCCAGTGGACTACTATGGTTGTTGTCAGTTGTTACATTTACTGTAACTATCTCTACTTTGCTTCACAGGGAGTTAAGGGAGACCAAGGAATTAAGGTATGATTTTTTACATTTTCATTTTTTAAAGTGTCACAAAATAGGAACAGCTGGCAATAAGGGTTGCAGCCTATTTACTCTGCTGTGTTCAGAGCCATAGCCCAGATTTTAATGGTGATGTCCAAGAGTCCAAGACCCTTATCTAACCTTTCTAACTTGAGCTGTGCATTGATAAAATACCAAAAATAATATGTGCATTTCTTTTAATCTAATTTTGATGTCTCTTCTTTTATTTGATTAAAGAATCTTCTTAAAAGATCCACTAAGATTTTTTGGAGCCTTCAAATGCATCTTATGGTTGTAATTGGTTAATGGAACTTGCTTGACTGTATATCTGAATACACACACAAACAGATACATTGAACTGTGTAATTTCTGAGATTCCAACTTTCATAAAGAAGGGAAATTAGTCAGTTTTCAGCTCTTTGATGCATTTTTCCAGATTTTCCAATCTATGCCATTAAGAAGTGGGAGAATATTTGCTTCCTTGTAAAAAATTTTGTAGATGGAAATAGTAATTTGACAACAATTTACATCTTAAGGGTCCCAGCTGATTTCAGAGCTTTTGATAACACAGTCTGAGCCCTGATTTGAGGACTGTGTGATATGTTTTGAAGCTCCAGAAAAAGATTGATTTGGAATTGTTTTGTCAAACCTTGACGGCATATAAAAAGTTATCTGCACTTTCAGAGAATAAAACCCCAAAACTTTCATCAAAAAATACTAACAAATACTAGAAGATTCCAACTTATGTTACTAGTTGCCACTGACTCACTTTAGCTTTAGCTTATGTTTTTAGATGTAGATGTAATTGAAGAGTAAGGGACCTTGCATTGCTTGTGTCTATATTACGTAGCCTGTCAATCCTTTGGAAAGAATGGAAAACATCAGTGTCTTGTGTGCATAGTTTGCCCACATGGAACCTTGTTGCTTTGGGAGTTGTGCTTTATAGTTTGATATAAAGACAGACTTCATTCAGCAAAGAAAGGTTAGGGTCACTACACTCTGGGGCCAGGGTCTAGGTTAGGATTGGGCTTAGTGTAAAGGTGGCCTGAACCCTACTATTAGCAAATATTGGTGAATGGTTAGCTTTCTTTTTATATGAGAAGCCTTTAACTGTAAACATGATCATTGAGTCTGATTCTGGGTCTAGAATAAACTTTAAGTCTCCCATGTTAATCAAAGTGGGTTAGCATTAAGTCACCTTAGCCGGTCTGGATGAACAATCATCTCTCCGCTGGCTACTATTTATGTTTTTTTCCCCAAGGCAACTACTTGCCACTTCTGTCCAGGGACCAACATGATAGAAGGCCCCTGATGTCTTCTCTGAAGATTTAGATCTCCCCCTGTCAGGTCTACGTCAAGAAGGAGTACTCCCCAAGCATTTGCTTGTCTTTCTTTTACCCTGGTTGAAAGGGTGTGTCTGTTTTTACTACTCCACTGCTTCTCTGAGCTGATGTTTCCACCACTCTGTAGGGAGATGAAGGAAAGAGGGGTTTCCCTGGAGAGAGGGGAGAGAAGGTAGAGTGAAAGTCAAGCATGGAGTTGTGTGAGTGTGTGTGTGTGTGTGTGTGTGTGTGTGTGTGTGTGTGGCATGTCAAGGTCTACTTATGCATGGCGAGATCACAAACGTGGCCACTGGAGTCTGGATAAATGAAACTTGCTTTAAATTGATCTCTTAGTGGATTTTATCTCAGAAGCTGCTCTCTGCTTTTGACCACAAATAACAAATAAGTTCATCCCTCATGAATTTAAATCTGTTTGTTAGGACATGGAGTTTTGCTGTATTGATACATTCAATATGTCAGCATTCAGATGTGCCATCTCAGAGGCTTTACCTGACAAAAACGCACATTGTGCACATGTACTTGGGATCTCTTCATTTGTTGTTGTCGTCATGGCTTATCTGGCCTATTATGTTCTTTGTTTAATTTGCTTGGATTCCATCTGTCTAATAGAAACATTTCAGCGTTGGTGCTCTGCCTTAAGGTTTGCTGTGAAGTGAACTGTGAAGTAACTTATGGGTCTGTTTTTTGCTCTATTTTTCCCTGAATTCTTCCATTGGGCCCTCTAATTTATTGATATAATATATCGGTTCCACTTTTATGATGACTACACATAGGAGTCCCAGTCCCAGTTGACCTGCAGCAGCTCTTCTTAGGCCACGATAGCATGGCAGTAGCAGTCGCAGCAATGTGGATGTGTGTTTTCTCCATTAAGCCTCACAGATGGAGAAATGGGGGAAGAGGAAAAAAAAGTCAAAAGCAGAAAACTTCAAGGAAAGTGCATTTTAGTTGGTATCCACAGGAAACAGTGATCTGGAAAAGCTTTTAGTGTTTATTAATAATAAAGAGAAAGTGGTTTTGCAGGCCGATCCTTCAATGTTAGGGTATGGTCACCAAAGGAGCTGAGGCTTCCATTAACCAAAGGGAAATCTGTTCTGTATATAATCTCAGAGAGTTGGCTGCTGGTGCCTTGTGGCAGAGTAAATTAAAATGGGCCAGGTAGAGGTTTTGTGGTATACACAATAGCCATTAATATCTGCATGGTGCTGACCACAAATGATAACTTCCCTAGACTATACCTCTTCAGTTTCAAAGCCCCCAGCAGGCAACAGGCCCATATCAAGCCATGAAGAAAGCAGACAAAGCTACCACGTCAGGACCATGTCCCATCTGTTAAACTGGTGAAATACTCTAGCACTTTGCTTTAGACTGATCTAATAAGCTCTGTCTTTGAAATCAGCTTTAATTTTACTTTCACTATGGGAACAGCAACGGATGATGACAGAGGGAAAAGATGTTATGACAAAGGAGAGAGTTTTCCAACAGTCAAACTTCTTTGACCAAATGAAAAGTTATCTCTGCCCTTTCCTTTTCACTGTAAATTAAAAGCAATGAGCGACCCAGCTGGAGGACATAGAATGGGCAAAGGGTAAGACAGCAATTAAGTTTTTAAATCAACCACCTTGTTCAATTATTCTTAACAATCAATCAATCAATTTTATTTATAAAGCCCAATATCACAAATCACAATAAGCCTCACAGGGCTTTACAGCATACAACATCCCTCCCGCAGCAGATAAGGAAAAACTCCCCCCAAAAAACGCCTTTAACGGGGGGGAAAAAACGGTAGAAACCTCAGGAAGAGCAACTGAGGAGGGATCCCTCTTCCAGGACGGACAGATGTGCAATAGATGTCGTACAGAACAGATCAACATAATACATTAACAGTAATCCGTATGACACAATGAGACAGAAAGAGAGACAGAGAGAGAGACAGAGACAGAGAGAGATGCAGGACAGACGGTTATGATAATAGCTTACAACAACATTAATGAAAGAAATAATATTATAATTATAATTCCGGCTATTGTGGTACAATATGTTAAAAGTATATATTAATATCTTATAGTATACATATGTGACAATAATCATATGTGTATAATAACAGTAGAAGTATGACTAATGATAACAGCAGCAGCAGGAGGCATCAGGCAGGACCACGGCAGCAGCACAACCACACATGTCACACTATCCAGGCACCGCTGTGATATAAGTTAACCTGCGAGACAGTGGAACACAAAAGCTCCGGAGGAGAAGCCGAGTTAGTGACATGCTGTACGGCAGAGTTAGCAAGATACAGTAACAGGACATGAGAGAGAGAGAGAGAGAGAGAGAGAGAGAGAGAGAGAGAAACATGCCCGGTGTATTATAGGAGGTCCCCTAGCAGACTAGGCCTAAGTCAGCCTAATTAGGGGCTGGTACAAAATAAGCCTGAGCCGGCCCTAACTATAAGCTTGATCAAAGAGGAATGTCTTAAGTCTAGTCTTAAATGTGGAGACGGTGTCTGCCTCCCGGACCGCAACAGGAAGATGATTTCACAGGAGAGGAGCCTGATAGCTGAAGGCTCTGGCTCCAGATCTGCTTTTGGAGACTTTAGGGACCATGAGTAACCCTGCATTCTCAGAGCGCAGTGTTCTGGTGGGATAATATGGCACTATGAGCTCTCTAAGATATGACGGAGCCTGACCATTTAGAGCTTTATAAGTTAACAGCAGGATTTTAAATTCAGTTCTGGATTTTACAGGGAGCCAGTGCAGAGAAGCTAAAACAGGAGAAATATGATCTTGTTTCTTAGTTCCTGATAGTACAAGTGCCACTGCATTCTGAATTAGCTAAAGAGTTTTTAAAGACTTATTAGAGCTACCTGATAATAGGGAGTTACAGTAATCCAGCCTTGAGGTAACAAAAGCGTGGACCAATTTTTCTGCATCTTTTCGGGTCAGGATAGGCCTAATTTTCGCAATATTATGCAGATAAAAAAATGCAGTCTGTGAGGTTTGTTTTAAATGAGAATTAAAAGACAAATCTTGATCAAATATTACTCCGAGGTTTCTTACGGTAGTGCTAGAGGCCAGAGCAATGCCATCTAGAGAAACTATGTCATCAGATAAAGAGTCTGAGTTGTTTGGGGCCAAGAACAATAACTTCAGTTTTGTCTGAATTTAACATCAGGAAATTTGTGTTCATCCAGGTTTTTATGTCTTTAAGGCAGTTATGGAATTTAGTTAATTGATTACTTTCTTCTGGCTTGATCGATAAATACAAATGTGTATCATCAGCATAAAAATGGAAATTTACAGAGTGATTTCTAATGATGTTACCTAGAGGAAGCATATATAGAGTGAATAGGATTGGTCTGAGCACAGAACCTTGTGGAACTCCAAAACAAACTTTAGTACGTAAGGATGATTCATCATGAACATGAACAAACTGAAAACAATCAGATGAATAAGATTTAAACCAGCTTAGTGCGCGCTAAGATCTAATAAAACAAGTACAGAGACAAGTCCTTTGTCTGAAGCAATCAAAAGATGATTTGTAATTTTAACTAGTGCTGTCTCAGTGCTATGATGCACTCTAAATCCTGACTGAAATTCTTCAAATAAATTATTATCATGGAGAATATCACACAGCTGGTCTGCGACTACTTTCTCAAGGATCTTTGAAAGAAAGGGAAGATTAAATATTGGTCTATAGTTGGCTAACACCTCTGGATCCAGAGTGGGCTTTTTTAGGAGAGGTTTAATTACAGCTACCTTAAAAGACTGTGGTACATAGCCTATTAATAAAGATATATTGATCATGTCTAATGAGTGTTAACTAAAAGTAAAACTTCCTTAAGTAGCCTAGTTGGGATGGGGTCTAAGAGACACGTTGATGATTTTTATTTTTATTTTTTATTTTTATTTTAACAGTGACCATTCATCTTTATGCACTACTTCTTGTTTTGTCTCTCTATCAGTAAATTGAAATGTGAAAAACACCCAACAAAAAAACAAAACAAAATCAAAGCCATTTCATTTCCTTGAATGTATTTTGAACTGTTGTGTACAGAGATATTAGAAAATTGTAACCTTTTTGCAGTAACTATTTTCTTTGGCTCATTATAAATTGTTGGTACTGAGTAATAAACAGGCCGATACGGAACCTCCGCCCACAGATTGTAGGAATATAGATGCTGCTTGTAAAACTCAGATTGTTGTCACTGTCCCCTCTACCTCCTTGTGCATATGTGTGACAATCATATGTTGTGTTCAGTTTGCATAAAAATCAAAGTTAGTGGTGTAGTGAGAAGAAATGACAAAAACAAAATGTCCATGGCCATTTGTCCCACATTTTGTTGATTTACTTTTTCAACAAATGTTTACTTTTTTTTTTAAGTATTTATGATTAAATCAAATTTCTGATCTGAAGTTTCTCCAAAAATCTACTAAGTAGTTCTTTTAGCCTGCTGATATATTGTGATTGTGTGTAGTTATTTTTGTTCAAAACAGTTGTTACAGTTGTATCATAAATGAATACTATCACATTACAAAAATACATCATAATAATGATGATGATAATGATAATAATAATAATAATAATAATAAATAATAATAATAATGATAATAACAATTTGTAAGAGCTTTTCAGTACACAGATACACATATCTCAGCTTAATCCTATCCATCTGTTACCAGGCACACTGTTTCAATGTTTAGTGTGCACATGGTACTTGTACTTGTAAGTTCTTATGAAAATTCCAGCTCCATGTCTCCATCTTCTTTCTCTGAAACTAAGTGTGACAGCATGACTTGGCTGCAGTACAAATAATGAAAACAAGTGATCCTGCAGCATCATTGGAAGATTATTGCAGTTCCTGTGAGTGTGAGGGTGAATGATTGGTTTAAACTCATGCCTTCTTACTTTTCCTCTGAAGTGGAAAGCCTGTGGCTACATGGCTTCAATAAAGAGCTTAGCCTATTGATAAATCATGACATGGCATGCAAGTGTGACAGCTCCCCGTGGGACTACACCCAATGTATGTCATGGAAAAAGTGATATTAAAATAGAACAAAGGACAAACTTTTGAGGTGACCGGAGTAAATGCCACAAGCTGTTTGGAGCAATCATAGATCAAAGGGAGCTGTTTCCTGCTTGAGGTAGTTGGTTGTTGGGGAACGTCTCTAATGAACTCCTCTGTGCATATAGAGCCATCACCACTCAGGTCCTTCTGGGGGTAGTGGGAATGATGGAGATCCGGCAATGCCTTCATCTGACCACCAGCTCCTGTGCACTAAGAGACACTATGTCAAGATGTGGTACCCTGTATCTGTACCTTCTAATTGACACATGAGTGAGAAAAGTATAGCCTTAATGACACCATTAGGCTACAATATGCTGATGATGTGTGATTAGACATTATCAAGATTTTCAGGATACAGTAATGACATTATAACAGAATTAATGTTTTTTGTATTGTTTCAGTGGTCACTTGGTGCCATAAGAAAAGTTATTTAAGAAGCAAGCAGTAGCAGTGTCTGAATTTCTAATAGTGGCTGAAGTCGTAGCTGCAGGGATGGCAATATTATCCTTTCCAGTAGGAGTATGCTGAAATTTTACTTCTGCAAAGATACATGCATGATAAATGTGTGTCTCTTGATCCTGGTTATTGGGTATTAAAGGGGAATTTATTTGTTGATATTTATTGGTTTACTCTGCATTCTTTTCTCAAGTATTTGTACAGTCTTTATGGATGCACTCTGGTAACAGAAATTGCACTTTTCTGCACAGTAATCATGGGCTAAGTAGGTTAAAGCCTCCAATTATGAAGATAATCCATATCAATCAATTATTTCTGGGGCATTCTGCTCCAAGGAAATAAGCACAGCCTTCTTCTCCATCTTGGCTTCTTTATATCACCAAACTGCCAGTGACTGAAATCAAAGCATTAGAACCGTGAATGGTGTTCTTCCACTTTGCAGCTGCATAAAATGAACATTTATTTTTAGACACAGAAAGCCTAAAACCTTGTACGTTTGACACCCGTGTTATTACTGAGCAAAATATGTCGTACAGAACAGATCAACATAATAAATATACAGTATTCCATAGGACAAAATTAGACATAAAGAGACAGAGAGGGATGCAGGACAGTAATGACAGTAGCTTACAACAACATTAATTTAAGTAATAATATTATAATAATATTTACAGCTATTGTGGTACAATATGTTGTAAGTATATGTTAATATATGATAGTATATGTATGTGGCAATAATCATATGTGTATAATAACAGAAGAAGTATGACTAATAATAACAGCAGCATTAGGAGGCCTAAGGCAGGACCACAGCAACAGCACAACCACATCACACGATCCAGGCACAGCTGCAATACAAGGTAACCTGACAGATAGTAGTGCACAAAGGCTCAAAAGAAGAAGCCAAGTTAGTGACATGCAGTAGAGCCAAGTTAGCGAGATGCAGTAATAGGACATGAATATTAGCAAAGGTGAGAGAGAGAAGAGAAGGTGCTCCGTGTATTATAGGATGTGTATTATAGGAGGTCCCCCGGCAGACTAGGCCTTGTCAGCCTAACTAGGGGCTGGTCCAAAATAAGCCTGAGCCAGCCCTAACAATAAACTTTATCAAAAAGGAAAGTCTTAAGTCTAATCTTATAATGTGGAGACGGTGTCTGCCTCCCGGACAGAAACAGGAAGATGATTCCACAGAAGAGGGGAGCCAGTGCAGAGAAGCTAAAACAAGAGAAATGTTATCTCGTTTATTAGTTCCTGTAAGTACACGTGCCGCCGCGTTCTGGATTAGCTGGAGAGTTTTTGAAGACTTATTAGAGCAACCTGATAATAGGGAGTTACAGTAGTCCAGCCTAGAGGTAACAAAAGCGTGGACCAATTTTTCTGCATCTTTTTGGGTCAGGATAGACCTAATTTTTGCATTGTTACGCAGATGAAAAAATGCAGTTCATGAGGTTTGTTTTAAATGGGACTTAAAAGGCAAATCTTGATCAAATATTACTCCGAGGTTTCTTAAAAGGGGCAAAAAATGAAATCGTTTCACCGCTAGGTTTGCTGTTGTGCACTGCCTGTAGACCAAAACAAAGTGTGTCATGAGCCACTCCCCCCACCCCCCACTCGCCTCGTCTAGCAGTTAGCGATGTCTCGGTCTATGCTGTGTTTAGCTATTCCCCTGCCTACTTCAATGATGATGGTACCTTTAATAAATGTAATATATTTGCTGAGATGGAGGCGAGGCTCAGTGACTAGAGGAGCTGGTAGAAGCACTCCATAGCTGTTAAGTTACTCCAGTAGCCTGTGGCAGCTGACTCGGCTAGTGCTAACACCAGGAGCTAACGCTAACGTTCCTCCTCTTCTCCGTGAGTGAGAGCGACGTTTTAGCTGAGCGGGCAGCTGGCTCGCAGGCTGCCCACTAGGCTAAAACATTGCTTCAGGTTAAAGTGGGAAGAAGCAGCGGATTTATTGGGCAGCTGAGTGAAGCTGAGTGAAGTGGAGGCTGCGGAGGAAACACCGGGAGCTCATCCAGGATTTTATGTCTTTAAGGCATTTTTGAAGTTTAGTTAATTGATCTGTTTCTTCTTCTGGCTTTATCGATCAAGGTTAGTTAATAAAGCAATCTAAATATTCCTTATGCTACTGTGTGGACACAGCTGTGACTGTTCATCATCTTTAAACATTCTACTCATGAATCTGAAAAGAGGAGCCAGAACAAAGACAAAATAAAGGCTGTGTTTCTTTTCTATTTTCAAAAACTAGTGTCAGAGAGTTCATCATACTGTGGCTGGCACTTGTTAGATGCTTATCACTCAGATTTTTTTACTTCACTGTCATGACTTTCATGACCCAGACATGTCATGTGTATTGTATGTGTCTTTGTAGTGCAGTTGCATCTCATTGTGGCTGTTTTGCATGTCCTTTAGCCATTTGATTGACTTTCTTCCAAGAAATATTTTCACTTCATACAGAGTCTTGGACAAAGGTCCCTCTGGGTTCTTGGCCCTGTGCCCAGTTTGCCCATTCAGCGATCTGTTTGTGTAGTTGTATGAATAAGTGCTTTCTAGATGTGTCTGCATGTATTTTTCAATATATTGAAAAAAAACTGCACATGAACAGTTTTGCTTTCCCTCTTATTCCACCATATTTTACCTTTATATTGTCTTGGCCATCATAGGGAAAGCCAGGGTTGCCCAGGCACTCCTGAGTTAACGGTTAAGTCATTATTTAGTAGTGTGTGTGTCAGTTATAATATACCCAATCAAATCAGCAGGTTATAACTGTCTTTCTTCCACTGCAAAGGGCCAGGCTGGCATCCCTGGAAAGAGGGGCTACAGGGTAGGTCTGGAATAGAATGAGCACCCTGACTGTCTGGCTTAGATAACTGGTTGTCTGTAAAGTCAGATATTCATCACATTAGTGTTTTTTTTTTTATTTTATTTTTTTTTACCTTTTACCTTTGTGTGCTGTTAGCTGTGCTTCACTTGCCATTGGTTAGAGTGCATTGGCCTTTGGTATAGTTAGCCAGCCTAAATGAATGCTTCAAATAGCCTAGATGGCAAGAACAAAACCATGCATTTTAAAGCCAAACATGATCTTTTCCTAACCATAACTAATTTGTCTTTGTGCCTCAACACAACCACACATTAACCACAGCATTGTTCACATGTAAAATTTAGACGTATACCACTACATAAACAGGAAAATGTATCCGTAGTTTGCAGAAATATACAATGCCAACACATTTTCTGGTGATTGGGTTCCTTCAGAATTGGGCTAGCAAACCTTACCATAGCCTGTGTCAGTCATTTCTTAGACCACTCATACATGCATTCTTTGATTCTGTCTGAATCCAAGAAGAATGGATTGTCTTGGATGTGTTGTGATCTGTGGGAATGTACAGAATTGCTAGAATAATCTTATTTCAAAGCCACGTACTAGCTTACTATCTTGCATTTTCATAGAGCTTTCAACTACATCTCACATTCTCATCATGTAAGTTTTATCTGGGGATCTCATTTTTGGTGTCCCATGAGGCTATTTGTCGCAGACTATGGAAATTTAGACAAAAGTGATAACGACTATAGGAGCTTAGTCTTAAACTTCAAGCTACTGAGATGCTTGACCCAGAGTAACCTGGTTGACGCGCCTCGCTAACTTACTGGTTTCTCACGTTACCGTTTTTGATGCTCAGTAAAGGAGTCCGGACGCTGGTCTTCTGATACATTATAACAAACATTTGTTCCGATTTTTTGACAACTGATCAAACAAAGAAAACGCTGGCAGTTAGCGCCACAGCGGTCAAAAATCTTTTGCCCTTCCGGGTCAAACACCTGATGATCATAGTGAGGTCACATCCTAAAATACCTGAACTCACCAGGTGACAGTACAGTGCCCCCCAATGCCGACACAATGAATTACACAGTTAAAAGCAAACCTCCCAATAACATATTTGACTCCTATACCGTCACAAAAACAATAGTATGCAGTTAACCATTAACCACTGTTAGTCCATTAACATCATTGTATTGGACATGAAAAATCTGTATTTATCAGTCAAACACTATTTTCCATTCAGCTAAGACTCTGTTCTGTATGTACGGCAGGGTGAGAAGGGAGAGCCAAGCATTGCAGCCCAGGGAATTAAAGGAGAACCAGGTTCACCAGGACTGCCAGGCCTAATGGGACCCAAGGTAAAGGGAAATGGTCTGATTAGTGGATAGATACCTGCAAATCCTCAATTATAGATTGAGGTAGGAAGGTAATACTTCAACAAAAGCTAGTGCTCATGGAACTCACTGTACGGGATTCCTCTTACAGGGTGACATAGGTGACAAAGGAGACAAGGTAAGATGAGAAAGCATTATGGAAAGAATGCTATACTAAACACAGGTTGTGAATGTTTCTGGAGAATCTTAGTGTTATACCTTCATGTGACCTCTAGGGGGAAGTAGGTCCTGAAGGCCCGGCTGGACCAAGAGTAAGTTGTGACTGGCAGACTTACGATAACATGTTGCAAATATTGACACATAGCACACAGAATATTAATTTTATATCTTTGTGGTTATGATAGTGTTTACAAATAGTCATTTTCACCTTGTAGGGTCCTCCGGGTCCACCTGGGGAGCCAGGAAAGGCTGAAATTCACAACAGTGAAAATGTATGTAACTCATATAAAGTTTCACTGTTTTCTTAACATGCATAAAAACTATAGAATGAAAAAAAAAGAATAATAATGTAATAATCCTCCACAGGATATTCGCAACTTACCCCTGATGGTAAGTACTTTCTGGGGTTTATCAAGGCATATGCAAACACAGTCTAGTAGAAAAAATTTTATTAAATGACTTGTGTTTTTTTCCCCTCCCAGGGCCCCCCTGGATTACCTGGACCTTCTGGGCCCCCTGGACTCCCTGGTGCCAAGGTAAGACACATTTTAGAACAACAATTGACTTGTGATGTTGTGAGTCCCATAGCCAGATTTACCTGTTATGGGGGCCCCGTGTTTTAATGTCTTTTTTTTTTTTTTTTTTGTTATAAAGAAAATGTATTTTGTATTATGCACCACATGAGTATAAAAACTAAAATAATAGATATGTTAAAACTAGGTCTCAGCTCCAGGCCCCTTCTCAAGACATAGCCAAAGAATTAGGTAATAAGTAAATGGTGCAAATTCTCTAACACAGTGACTACACAGGATGGGTAGCATGGGCAGCATGTTAGCAGAGCAGCAGCAGCAGCAACCTCGGTGCTTGGTGTGCATTTACATAGGATACAGTTAGACACTGTATTGAGTTATAGGTCACTCACATTTTAGCAGAGCTCAGAACACAACACAGTCACTATAGTTATATACATAAAATTAAAGAAAATGCGCCGTTACACTGCCTGTGTAAACAGTTGGACAGAATAAAATAGCAGCACATCTGTATTCATTTGAATGAGGTCAGTCAGGCGAGGTGCCGATGCATGATGCTCCAAAAGAAATCACAGTGTTGTCTTGCAAATAAGTTAAACCTGACTCAACTTCTACTGCAACACTATGTAACGTCATCCAGCAAGCAAGGCACCGTGTTGGCCCATTGAATACATGGAAACCATCATTCCTGGTAGACTGCTTTGTCAATGCTATATTTCTCAACTCATTTGCCAGGAAAAAAATGTTGGCATTTCTGCAAACAATGGATATATTACATTTGCACATTATTATATATGGCACATTTATTGAAACTGAATTTGATGAACACTGTGCTTAAAGTGTGGATAGGTTTAGGCATAAAAAAACAACTTGGTTAGGAAAAGATCATGTTTTGGCTTAAAATCCCCAGTTTTGGGGGCACAATCCCAGCTGGAAACACAACAGTGTCTCTGTAAAAAAAAAAAAGCCATGTCATGCTACTATCCCTGCAGAAATGCAGCAATGTCAGCAGCAGTGGTCTGGAGCTTGGCAGCCATCTTGCCTACACACCATCCACCGTCTCCTCCACCTACCGATGAAAGAATCAGCTGATATACTACCTCACTATGGAAGCGCTGATATGATATGTTTGAAAAGTGCAAATATGCAGCGTTTTTGCAGTGTTTTTGGCATCCTATAAGCCTTTAAATGAATGGTTTTGTTACTCAAAGTGGACCTTTCATGTCTCATTGGTACCCAAGGCAACATCTCTACCAGTGCAGCCCTTTGCATAGTTCCAGTGTAGGGCTAAATTTGTTCTGAATGCCTACTACCAAATTTGCAACTGATCCAGTTACCAGAAACCAACTGACATAGTAAATCTCAGACCCCCTAGGCTTATTGGCCCTGGGACAGTTGTCTGCTTTGCCCAGTCGGTAATACAGTCTTGGTTTGACCTCAGGGTGAAGTTGGTCTACCTGGTCCTCCAGGATTGGACGGAGAGAAGGTAATAATTACTTATTAATCAGCACACTATATTACAAGCCAGACAGTTGAATTGTTGGATGTTGAATTGTTCTATTGTTGTGATAGATGTCTATTAATTGCAATAAATATGTAGAAATTATGATTAAAGCTCCCATTTTAGATTTCATTTAAAATATGTCTGTCTTAACATGGCTTCCTTCAGGTACAATTAAGTGGAGTAAAATTGACCTTTTGTGTTTTCAGGGACCCCGGGGAAAGCCTGGAGAGCCTGGTCCTCCAGGCCCAGCTGGTCCCGAAGGTCCCAGAGGGGAGGGTGGTGTTATGGGTTTCCCAGGACCCAAAGGAGACAAGGGAGACATGGGTCCATCTGGATCACCTGTGAGTGACTGTATTAACCACACACCACACCACATCACATCATTGCCTGGGGTTCCCTGACCAAAGCCCACATCCCACATCTGTCATTATCCAGAGGAAAGGCCATGTTTTTTGTTTTTTTTTCCATCTGCCCTCTTATTATCTAATTAAAGGCTCTCTATCTTGGAAGGGACCCCAGGAATGACTCTGTGTTTAACTTTTAATTCATTGTGGCATGGATCCCAAAAGTGCCCCTGTATAAAGGGCTGTACTATTTGTAGCCTGGTGTTACTTTAAGATCCTATAGTAAATACTCTTCTTCTGTATCGTATATATCTTCATGTTTTTGCTGTATGATGAGCAGCATTGCATACCTGACTATAGCATTTATGTACAGCTGAGAAAATGGGTATTGGGTTGTAATATATTATGCATTACTCGTTACTCACTCTTTTCAGAAGTAATAATATTACTTTACTTATTACTCCCTGCCAACAGTAATTCGCTACACTACTCATTACATTACTTTTCCTTATACACCCCATAAAATTGTTAAGTGCATATCTCCCCAAAATTCAGGTGTGTGCCTCTGTATGAATGTCAGGGTAATCACCATTGAGTGTAGCTAAAGCTAGATCACTTGCAAAAGATTTTTTTTTTGTTTGTTTTTGTGTTTTCACCTGGGGGTCTTCAGTTGCCTGTGTCCAGTATTTTAACAAGGCTATGCCAGAAAGATGGAGAGTCACAGTCGTGAAGCAACATTTCATCAAACAGTTATTAAGCCACAAGCTTCATTACTTCTTTGTGGCTGCAGCTGCCCATGATTAAAATCCAGTTTGGGTTTTTTAGCCAGTGTAGGGCTACAGGCGACATCCACAGCCAAGGAAGGCTCAATGAGTGTCATACGCAATTATCCATCATTTCATCTCGTGCAGTGTGTCAGAGTAGATGACAACTGTCGCCACGTCTGAGACACCTCTCTACGTTCCAACTAAAAGTCTGGCATGTTTGATTGTCTTTTTGTCGTTTACGACTGCTCCCATCATAGTCATCACTTTGACCAATAGAGACACAGAGCAGTCTGCTGCCGTAGACAACTGTACGGCAACAAAACCCCAGGCTTTTTGACATTTCCTCTAGGGACATTACCACAACAGAGTAAAGAGGGAAAAATGATGGGGTGAAACAGCAGAGGCAATTCAGTGAGTACTGCCTTTAGCATCAAGCTTGCAAACGGTGTTATTTCTGTATAGTGGAGACAGATATAAGGTAATAAAATTAAAAATAGTGGCAGGGCTTTTACTTACCACAACTGCAGAGGGTACCAGCTTAATTGGAAACAGACTACATTATAAATGGGCAGTTTTTTATTATTCCCACTGTATTTTTATATTTTTGCTTTTTTTCCTGTTCCTTTTGCCTTGATAAAGTTGATGCATCGCGCCATCATTTCAAACTCAACACTATCTGTACAAAATTAAAAGCCCCTTATAACTTCGGCTGAGAGAATCCCTCGATTTTCTAAAAATGCTTTTTATGGTGATGTCACGACCGAACAAAGGACCTGAACCCAAATGCACGACTCGGGAATCAAAGTTCAAAATCAAAGTTTTATTAAATAAAAACACAAAATGAAAATCACTGCTGACAGAGGAAAACCTACACTTAATCTAAGAACAAAAATGATCTAGAAAATAAACGCTATATCTTAAGAAACAAAACTCACTGACTAAAGCTAGGCTAAGAGAAAACAAATAAAAACTCTACTGAGGCTGTACTATTACTATGAAAAAACAAAGAGAAAATCTCTCTAGTGAGGCTGTACTACTACTAGGAAAAACAAAGAGAAAATCAAACTTGAACAAAGTATCAAAACAAGACCTGACAATGGCAATGGCAAATGGCATGGACACAACGCTGGTCCTCTCACACAAAGGACAAGATGAACTGGCACAGGACAAAGGGAGACACAGACTATATATACACAAGTTAAGGGCACAGGTGGAAACAGTCAGGGGCGAGGCAGACAATCAGATGAGCGGGAAAACACACAGGGGAAGGAGCAAGTTGCCTGAAATGAGAGGTGAGTTAGCTTTCAAAATAAATAACAATAATTTCACAGCGAGTAACTCACGGTTACCGACATTCATCAGCCAATGAAAGCTTCCTGGAGATCATGGTAGCAACTGGGAATGGAGTTCAAGTCAGGCAGGTCGACCTTCAAGTCTGTGTGGGGAGGGACAGGAACACAGTTAAGGGCAGCAACAACCCCAATTTCCTCCTCTTTGCTTGGGTCAACACCTGACCCCACCCCGGGCCCTCCCCACCTCATAACCCTCCCTGAACACCAGTCAATGTGGGGGTTATGTTTCTTGAGCCAGGGAAACCCTAGGATCAGAGGGTGTTGGGCTGAGTGAAACAGGTGAAAAGTCATTAGTTCATGGTGATCCTCAATGCACACTGCCACAGGTTCAGTCACGTGTGTTACTTTAAATATGAAGCTGCCATCTAAGGCACTAGCTTTCAAGGGCTGAGGCAAAGGTTCAGTCTTAATATCCATCTTACGGGCAAAACTCCAGTCCATAAGACTTTCATCTGCCCCAGAGTCAACTAACACTCCCAGCGAAACTGCGGTGCATGATGTATTACCTGGATGTTAGTCAGAGAGCGAGAGGGACTGTCAGAGGTGGAGAAGCGGCTCACCAGGGGTCCCCCCCTTCACCTGATGGGCCTTCTCTTTTGCTGGGCACGCTGCCAGTAGATTTCCTTGTTCCCCACAGTAGAAACACCTCCCTTCTTGTAGGTGGCGGCGTCGTTCTTCCACATACAACTTGGCCCATTCCAGCGGCATGGGTTCCTCCGAGCCGCCAGAGGACGCTGTTCTCCGCAGGACTGGCGATGATGCGCGAGGAAAATCCCTCCAATCAGGTGAAGGGCGACCTCTGGCATGGTCATGGAAAACTGTAGCTCGTGACTTGTCCTTTCTTTGCTCCTTCAAGCGATGGTCAGTTCTGACAGCTAACGCGATCACAGCATCAAGATCCTCAGGTAAATCGAGGGGAACCAGAAAATCTTGTATGGGATCAGAGAGTCCTTTGATAAATGCATCATACAGTGCTGTGGCATTCCATCCGCTATCTGTGGCTAAGGTGAGGAAGCAGGTGCCATACCTTGCCTGATGCTGCTCAGCTCTCATGCCGTTTCTCTGCCTGACGTGGTGGGGTCGAAAACCCTCCTCAAAGTCTCTATGAACTGATCCAGAGATTGACAGATCGGTGAACCACGGGACCATTCTGCCGTAGCCCACGCCCTTGCTCTCCCAGTGAGATGGGAGATCATGAACGCCACTTTGGATTTCTCTGTGGGGAAGGCTGATGGCAATTGTTCATAATGCATTTCACAGTTCACAACGAATGAGCGGCATTCCCCAGACTCACCAGAGAATTTTTTGGGTGGAGCCAGGCTTGGGGAACTGGAACTGGTGGTGCTTCGGTGGCCGCCGGAGAAGGCGTGGCTGAGGAGTCTTTGGTCAGGTGAGCGAGCATCTGATGAATCTGAGTAAACAAGAGATTCACCTGGGCCATCATGGCAGACTTGAAATCCTCTTGACAGTTTGCCAGCTCTTTCACTCCACGTTGCAGGGCGGACAACAGATCCTCCTGCTGATTAAGGCGGGTGCCTTGGGAGCAAATGGCTGCCGTCAGGTGGTCTGAGTCGGCTTGGTTCATGCTGGCCAGTTCGTTCTGTCACGACCGAACAAAGGACCTGAACCCAAACGCACGACTCGGGAATCAAAGCTTTATTAAATAAAAACACAAAATGAAAATCACTCTTGACAGAGGAAAACCTACACTTAATCTAAGAACAAAAATGATCTAGAAAATAAACGCTATATCTTAAGAAACAAAACTCACTGACTAAAGCTAGACTAAGAGAAAACAAACAGAAAACACTGTTGCTGTTACTGAGGCAGAAAATCAAACTTGAGCAAAGTATCAAAACAACAAGACCTGACAATGGCAATGGCAAATGGCATGGACACGACGCTGGTTCTCTCACACAAAGGACAAGACGGACTGGCACAGGACAAAAGGAGGCGCAGACTATATATACACAAGGTAAGGGCACAGGTGGAAACAATCAGGGGTGAGGCAGACAATCAGACAGCGGGAAAACACACAGGGGAAGGAGCAAGTTGCCTGAAATGAGAGGAGAGTTAGCTTTCAAAATAAAACAGGAAATAACAAGACAACATAGACACGAGACAAAACTGATTAAATGAACTTAACGGCCTCTAGTTTCGCACCCGGGCGAGGCGGAGACGGAGGCGCAGCGCACCTGCGCTTCGCCAACTGGGTGTGGCCAGGCGGATTTTGCAAGTTTGGTACACCATGCACGCTGGTGCAGCTACTCCTCTTTCCCACCTCCATCCCTCCTATCTGCGCAAGTTGAAAAGAGGGAGGAGAGAAGGCGTGGAGTGGGTTTTACACAGCCGATTCACATCACACCAATTAAATGAGCCCCTCTCCTCGCCCTTAAATGCACCGCACAAAGGCGTAATGAGAGTTTACTCAATTCGCCATGGCGACCAAACTTCTCCCAGGAGGAAACTGATGTTTTGGTGTGGGAGGTCCAAGCTCGCAGTGTCCGAATATACGGAACTGCGAGCAGACCTCCACGGGCTGATGATGCAATGGTAGCCTGGGAGGAGGTCACCACAATTGTAAATCAATGTTGCATTTCTCTCTTGCACACACGCTCTCTCTTTCTCTCTCGCAGTCTCACTCTGTTTCTTTTCTTTTGACTTTTCTAAGATGGCAGATGCTGAATATATACTCTCTATCTGATGCTGTGGCTATTTGTGGTTGGCTGAGAGGGATGTGAACTCATTGGTTTGCAGCTGTGTTAATCAAATCAGGTTGGGTTTCCATTACGCGTGCCAAACGTCCCAAACGGTGCCAGTCCCCTTTAATCTTTTTTTTTTTTTTTTTTTTTTAAATTTTATATACTTTATTAATCCC